CCGGGGGGGTTCCCGCCTCCGGGGTTCCGGGTGCGCATCGAGCTGTGCGGGTGCAGTCGAGAAGCGGGGAGGTGACTTGAGCTGCGGAGGCGCTGGCCGAGGACAGGGCCGCAAGTAACGCGAGGCTGCGGACCGTGGAGGCCTTCTCCGTGTCTCCCCGCAGGATCGCTCCCTGTCGCCCATATTAGAGTTTCGGAGACGGGTTTCGCCGGCAGGGCCCTCACCGAGCCGCAGTGTGAGGCTGCCTTAGGGAAGGGCTGGTGCGTGTCTCATCTTCCTCAGGCTCGGCGCCGTGGTCAGGCCTCACCACCTCCTGTCCCTGCTGCTCCCTGGACCGCGAATACCTCGACTCTCAGCGCTTTGTGCTCAGCCCAGGTAACGTGTTTTGTATCCTCAGTGCCTGACACGTAGTCGATGCTCCACCAATGTTTGTGAAATGAATGGTGGTGGGACAGTGGGGTGCCTGTGGGAGCAGAAGCAAAGGGAAGCCCAGCCTTCCTGCCTCCCCATTGGAACCCCGTAGCATTGAACTTGCGTTTCCCCATGCTGGGGACTGAGTTCTGCCTGCACCATTCACAGGCCCAGAGCCATGGCTGTCTCCTCTTCCTCCTGGGAACTGCCCCTGGTGGCTGTGTGCCAGGTAACATCGACGCCAGACAAGCAGCAGAACTTTAAAGCTTGTGCTGAGCTGGTTCGAGAGGCTGCCAGACTGGGTGCTTGCCTGGCTTTCCTGCCTGAGGCTTTTGACTTCATTGCCCGGGACCCTGCAGAGACTCTGCGCCTGTCTGAGCCACTGGGCGGGAACCTTTTGGGAGAATATGCCCAGCTTGCCAGGTATCAGAAAGGGGGGGTGGAGGGGGGACGGGGAGAGGTCATTGCTTTGCTGGGCATTGTCTCTGGATTGCCAGATGTGAGGGTGGAGCCTTGGAAAGAGCGCAGTGTCCACTCCCCCAGGGAATGTGGACTCTGGCTGTCCTTGGGTGGTTTCCACGAACGTGGCCAAGACTGGGAGCAGACTCAGAAAATCTACAATTGTCATGTGCTTCTGAACAGCAAGGGTGAGACTTCACAGCTCTCTAGCTTGCCTCCTCCCAGGCTCTTCTCCCTAAACCAAGATTCTCCAGAATCGTGTCTTCTGTTTCCTCGGCCAAGGGCTCCTCCTCCCAAGGAGGCTTCTGGAGTGCCAGCACCCCCTCTTCCTTCTCCCTCTCATCCTAGGGTCGGTAGTGACCACCTACAGGAAGACACATCTGTGTGACGTACAGGTCCCAGGGCAGGGGCCTATGCATGAAAGCAACTCCACCATGCCCGGGCCCAGCCTCACGTCACCTGTCAGCACACCAGCAGGCAAGGTGGGAGCTGTGAAGGGGGGGGGAGAGGAACAAGAGGGAGGGGACAGGAATAGTGAGCACAGGAGATAGAGAGCCTAAGGAGTAGGGTACGGGTGACTAGATGCCGTGACACACACACACTCTTTATCCCAGGTTGGTCTGGCTATCTGCTATGACATGCGGTTCCCTGAACTCTCTCTGGCACTGGCTCAGGCTGGAGCGGAAATACTTACGTACCCTTCGGCTTTTGGAACTGTAACAGGCCCAGCCCACTGGGAGGTAAGAGGACCTCTTCAGAACATGCGGGCTTTCCTTTCACTTCATTCTCTTCCCTCGGCCCTGCCAGTTAGATTTTCTCCCCCTTCCCACCTAGTGGGAAAATTCATTCCCCAAATTATTGCCTCTTATATGTTAAGGAATAGTTAACATTTCTAGCCAATTACAGAATGGTCACAATGGCTAGGTTGGCCTGCAGCTTCCCCCCCAGCTGCCACGCTTCTCCTCCCCAGGTGTTGCTGCGGGCCCGAGCCATTGAGACCCAGTGCTATGTAGTAGCTGCAGCACAGTGTGGATGCCACCACGAGAAGAGAGCGAGTTATGGCCACAGCATGGTGGTGGATCCCTGGGGGACAGTGGTGGCCCGCTGCTCTGAGGGACCAGGCCTCTGCCTTGCCCGGATTGACCTCAGTTACCTGCACCAGCTGCGCCAACATCTGCCCGTGTTCCAGCACCGCAGGCCTGATCTCTATGGCAGTCTGGGTCACCCACTGTCTTAGGACTTTTGACTTCTGTGAGTTGAGACCCACTGTGAGCTGGTGTTGCTGTTACTTTGAGGCAGGAGCCAGGTGTACCTCCCCCTCACTTGGGGAACCCTGACTCTTGAAGGAACGTATGCTTAGCTTCTTGGGAAAGAAGAAACTCACCTGAGCTCAGATTTCAGTTTCAAAAATGTGGAATTTCATATACTGTTTATTTCATGAAAACTAAAAACGCCGAGGGCTGAGCAACACTGGCATTGAAAGAAATAGAATCATAAAGTGTCTGGACATCTCCTTTGGGAGCTGAAAGGGGAGGTGGTGGCCGGCTGCAGTGAATTCCACCTGCGATGCTTCCCTCCGCAGATGTACCCCTCCCTTTTCCTGGTCCAGCTGGACTCAGCTCCGGTTCTAAGCCTCCTGGCTCATTCAACAAGCCTCCTACCCACATAAAAGCGCAACCCTCAGGGCATGTCCCAGTCCCATGCTCCTACTGGGGGTGTAGGGATGGGGAAGGACCTGTGATGCCCTTTGCCCAAGCCAGAGCAAGCAAAGGGGAAGGGCTGCGGGGCATCTTATTTTCAGTCACCAGCACACATGGAAGGGAGTGTCACACTCCCCTCCCCTTTCCAGGGGGAGTGCTTGAACCTCAGCACCCCCCTGTGCATGTGCACACACCACAGCTGGCGGGGCTGACCTAGTTCTCTCTCCTATTTTCCCTTGAAGAGGTGGGGGGGGGGGGGGGTGTACCACCAAGAAGAGTCAGCAATGAAATGGAAGAAACGAGGCAGAGAGGAGCAGCACCAGAGGCCAGGAGAGAGTTGAAAGGGCCACAGTTTCTTTTTTAAAAAGTCTATAATTTGGGAGAGGGTGGTGATTAATTTCCAAAATACACTTCAGAGTCTCACCTTCCACACAACACAGCTCCCTTACTCACAGCCCTTTGGTTTTCAGACAAAATGTAAGAGCCTCATAAAGCCAGAAGCACTGACAGCCCTCAGCGCACCCACACGCAGTGTTCACTGACGTCCCTTACAGACTGTCCCACAGACTTCACTTCTCCCTACACCTCTACCTCGCGGCTCAGTAGTAAAGGCAGCTGCAGACACACAGGGGGTGAGTGGAAAGGGAAACAGGGAAGCCCAGGCACATGGGTGTAGGGAGGGGTGGGAAACACCACTTCCATTTTCCTTAAAAAAAAAAAAAAAAAAAAAAGGAGGGGGGGGAAGGCAGGGGTGTGATTGGTTGGAAGGGGAGAGAAAAAACCCCAGAACAGTATGTACGCTCCAGAGGTGAGTGATGGGACCAGTCCCAGGAGGGAAGGTCAGGGCAAGGCCTGCAGCATCAAGTTCCTCAGGAGTTTCTGCCGGCCCAGCTCGTAGTCCTCCTCATCCACGTTCACCAGCAGCTTGATGGCTTCGTGGCCCACAGCCTGCTTGAGGGAGTCTGTGATGAAGACGCCTTTCAGTGCCTCTAGGAGCGAGCCATTGATGTAGTCGCGCCAGAATGCATCGAGGTAGGTGAGCTCAGAGAACTTGATGTCACAGATGATGGAGCCCAGGTCCCGGGACTTGAGGATGGTGTTGGCCTGGTTAAAGCGCTCAAACTGGCGCTCAAGTGGGTCCTGCTTGTTGGAGAAAACGTTGCCCTGCAGAGCAGTCTCATGCTGGCAGTATTCAGCCCGAACCCGCAGTCTGATGTCTGCAGGAAAGAGAAGAGACGCAGAAGAGGTTGCCATGAGAGGATGAGTTTACGAGAAAGATTAAAAGAGCAGCACAGTAGCCAAGTGGGAACATCACCTGACAGCTTCCCCTGCTCTTGTCCAGAACTACTTTTCTAGGTACCTCTGAACCTCCCTGAATGCAGGAGGTTCCCTTAAATAGGCCATGCCCAGGTCACATTATCCCACCACTCAAGTAGCACCTTGTTTCTGGGAGATATTTTCCTGGTTAACAGGCAGTCGTTTTCACACGCTACTATGATACCATGACGTGGTTCCTACTATAGCTACAGTAGGGACCCTCCCTCTGTTCTGGTGTTAACTACAAAGAGTTGACAAGTGCTCTGCCACAAAGACAGAGAATTCTCCCCCAGGGCCACCACTCAAACCTCCCTCTGCAGCAGCACCAACGGGAGCCTTCTGGGACCCCTGAACTCACCACATGTCTGCTTTTCCTTAGGATCCGGTGTCACTGACTTTCGGCGTTTTCGCTGGCTCCCAAGTGTGGCTCTCCCTCGAGCTGGCCTCTTGCTACACATCTGAGGGCCTGAAGTGGGGCAGCACACCACAGGATAGTGAGGAGGCACTGACGGGGAGGAAGGGGAGGAGACAGTAGGGTAAATGCTCAGACACTTCTCTTGGAAAGAATCATTTAGCCTTAGCAGGAAACGCAGTATCCACAATATGACCTAGGACACAATGTGGCAACAATCACAGGACCCAGGGAACACAATGCCTCACCTCACTTTTTTAAAATATATTTTTATTGATTTCAAAGAGGGAGAGGGATAGAAACATCAATGAGAGAGAATCATTGATTGGCTACCTCCTGCATGCCCCCCACTGGGGGGGGGGGCGGTTTGAGCCCGAAACCTGGGCATGCGACCTTGGTCAGAATCAAACCCGGGACCCTGCAGTCCGCAGGCCGATGTTCTATCCAGAGCCAAACCAGCCAGGGCTACCTCACCTCATTTTTATGGGGTCACGGAGGGGGGCAGGGTCCTTTCATTTAAGGTGTGACTATGAGTGGTTCCATGTCCTCTTTCTTGATGATGGAAATTAGGGGAATTTAATACCCACTCACCTGTTTTAGGGGATTGGGGAGGCCTTGGTTCTGGATCACTGAGGGCTCTGGGGGTCACATAGCGAATTGATGTCTCCTCCAGATACTTGTCTACAAGGTCAGGGCACACTGTAGGGGGAGAGGGAGTCATTCGGGAAGATGTACCCCGCCCTTCTCCTGGTCCAACCCTCCAACAGGCCTCTTGACAGTCCTGGGTACCCCCCAGAGCCAGTGCCGCCTCCCGCTGGGACTCCAGCCCAATACCTAAGTCCCCAGCCCTGTGCCCCTCACCAGCCCGCCGCCTCTTGAGGGTGACGTAGGGCAGGAGGTCATGGCGAGTAATGATGCGCAACAGCTGCAGCACTTGGCGGAAGTTAGTCTCATCACAGCGGCCCTGGCGCTCAAGCGCCAATAAGAAGTCACGTCCATTTCGGATGAGGCCACGTTCATGGTCATCAATGACATCAACAAAGAGGAAAGAAAGAACGCGCACATCTCTGTGTGTCAGGTGGGTGCCCACGATGTCAAACATGCGGTGCAGGCTGTACAGCCCGTGCTCCTGCTCACCACGCTCTTCTGGCCACACCTGGCTCGCCCGTCGCTTCAGGCCCGCCATGCTGGGGGCTCAGGTGCACAATGCTTCCCAGAATCCCTGCTCGGCAGCTGCAATCCCCACTACACTGTAAGGACGCCGAAAGAACCTGTGAGTTATTCATTCCTGCATTCCCAGTGCTAACACAATGCCTGGCACAGTGTAGTGCTTAGTAAGTCTTTATTTAAAAACTAGATGCCCAGTGCAGAAAAATTTGAGCACTGCCCTCAGCCCGGCCTGCCCCTCTCACAGTCGGGGAGCCCTCAAGGGATGTCCTTCTGACTGCTTAGGCCCGCTCCCCTCCCTGTGGGCAGCGGGCCTAAGCTGCAGTCTGGCCGCCCTCTGCGGGAGGCAACTGGGCCAATCAAAGGAAAGCGCCACCCCCATCACCCAACTACTGCTGCCACTGCCAGCCACTGTGGCTGCCTACCCTCAGCCCTTGCAGCCACGGCGGCCTTGTCAGGAAGGACATCAGAAAGGACATTCGGCTCTCCGGTCTAATTAGCATATTATGCTTTTACTATTATAGATAAAGCCTAGAGTTCTCCACATACAACAGATGGTGCCTTAAGTTCAAGATTCTATTGGAGAACTAGAGTCACTTCTCCTAGGTGAGAATGTTATATGCCATCTTGGTGCTACACAGCAGGAGTTGCTATTAGCTATTACCCTAATTGTTGCCCCCCCCCAACACACCCCCCCGCCTCCAAAACACTGCTTTTGGTTTTTTGTGCTCCCCCCTAATCAGTTCATCTCTTAAATGTAGGCAAAATTGGGCAGAAGTAGAGAATTCACTCTTTAATAAGTAAACTGTAGCAGATGAACTTAAGGACAGTAGGAAACTGAAAATCTTTAGGGTGAGAACTAGTTTCAATTCTGCCTGTATCATTAACAAGCCATGTAGCTGTGTGACCTTAATCAAGTCACTTAACTTCAAAGTTTCACTGCCCCTGTCTACAAAACAGGCATGAAAGAAATGACTACTCAGACTTGTTAAGAATCCAATGAGATAATACAACTGAAGTCACTTTGTAAATCTAATGCAAATCATTGTGAAAGAGATTCAAAGAAGCATCCTTGCCCCTCCAGCATTAGCTCAAGTGCTTGAATGTAGACCTATGAACTAGGAGATCACAGTTCGATTCCCGGTCAGGGCATATGCCGGGGTTGCAGGCTCAATCCCTAGTGTGGGACATACAGGAGGCAGCCAATCAATGATTCTCTCTCATCATTGACGTTTCTATCTTGCTCTCCCTCTCCCTCTCTGAAATCAATAAAAATACATAAAAAAAAAAAAATAAGCATCCTAGCCCAGACTCATCCTTCCATAAATGTATTTATAGGTTTCCTATAATCCAAGCAAGTCCAGAAGCATAACTGTTCTAAAGGTTAATGAATAATATTCACCAAAATTCATGGATTTAAATCCAGAAACATGACCAAGCTCCTATGTTGAGCACTCTTGTAATTCCCCCATTCTACCTGTACCCCCTTGATGTTCAGATGCCATTTGGATATGCTGTCTTCCAACCTGGCAGTCATTTACCAATCCCCTGTGAATGACCGATGACAGCCCTAGATTCTTTCTATAATTTGGCATTTGACTCAGAAAGTTCCTCCATCATCCTGGGTAATGTCAAGGACTCAGCCAATAACCAGTCTTCAGGTCAAACAACATTCAATTCCACTGTAGTTGCTCATACTTACTGCCCCCTTCTGACCAAAACCTCCAACCACCCAATCATTATACACTCCTGTTGATGCTACTTCTAAGTAGGTCTTAAATCTGCCTCACCTTTCCACTTCCACTGCCCTAGCTCAGGCCCCAATAACCTCTCACCTGGACTTCTGCAACAGCCTCTTTTATTTTAAATATATTTTTATTGATTTCAGAGAGGAATGGAGAG